ATGGTGCCCATCTTGTCGGGCGGGCGTGACGGTGGGATGAGGTCATGAACGGGCAGTGCTCGGCACGGCGCCAGGGAGGCAGCTGCTGGGAGCTCTTCCCGTTCTGTGGAAGAAAACGTTTTTCTCTCCACGCATTCCATTTCTGAAACATTCTTGGGCGGTGGTCTGTTTGCACGTACAGCTCCCCTTTAAGCTTTAACCTTGGAGTCAGGATGGTATCTGATCCATTTCCACATCCAGCACATGGCCCGAATCATAGAACGTGCTCACAAGAGGTTACGGACTGCAAATGGCATCCATGACACAGATAAACGTGTGTGCGCGTGCACGCGCGTGCACAATGACCTCTGTACAACCATGTCCCACCCCTGGGGACGGCGGCCCTTAGAGACCACATGGAGAAGGTGCCCAGAGATGTCAGAGAGAGCCTGACAGACCCACACACATGCAGCCACCACCCCAGCAATGAACTTCACTAACACCCCAGCTCCAGCATTCCCTCCGTGACTTGTCCATTCTTTCATTCGTCCAACGAAGGATGGATGAACGACCCCTGGGAGCCCGGCCTTGGGCTGGATGTTTAGAGAGAGAGGGAAAAACCAAGACAGCTTTTCCTCTCCAAATGCTCGCAATCTGGAGAGAGAGATCTCGGGGCCTGACCATGAAGTGAAGGGCCTGGCACGAACTTAATTTTCTTTTCCCTGAAAGTGACTGGGAGTCACTGAAGAGTGTTAAGCAAGTCATAACAGAGTCATATTTGCATTTTATAAATTGCCGCAATGGATCTCATATCCGGTCTCACCAAGCCAAAATATACCTTTAAAATCCTCTTCCTAAGCCCCTTATCTTCAGAGAATGTGGCTTATCTAAGCTATTTATTATTTAGCTTTTAAATGAAATAAAAAAAAAAAAAACCTCTGCCCTACAATCCAGTCCTCCTAAAACCCACTACCACCTGCCACTTTGCTGGCATTTCTGCTCATGGAGGCATGAGAGGTGTGCTCGCTCCTGAGCACATAGCTCGGGCAAGGCCCTTCTCAATGGCTGAAACATTCACTGGTTTGGAGAGCTGGTACGGGATCTATTCTACGAGCACGAGAACAAATTTAACTGGTTTTATACATTTTCTCATAGTGATTAAGAAGCTAAACCCTTTTAAATCAGAGATTATTCTTGAGCCTCTAATACTATTTAAATTACAACTCTCAAATCTTGAATGATGTAACGGGCTCAAGACCAAATGCTGCTTTTTAAAAACTCTGTACATCACATGGAAGTTCCTAATGTGACAGAAGGTGCCGTGACTAGACTGGCCCGGTGACAAAACCTTAGGGAGGTTCTCTGTGCTGTAACGCTCATCAGCCTCACCCTTCTATAGAAACAAGCAGGTTGGCATGCCGTGTTTCTATCCAGGAGATCTCAGAGAAATCCACAGAGGTGCAGCCAACCCATACACCGACTGCTTCAATGTCGTGATCACTGGGTCACCTCCCTCCAATGACCACAGCAACCAGCAGAGCCACAGGCCCTAGTTTTAACAGCCCAGAGCTATCAACTCATCATTCCTGAAACAGATTCCTCAAGGCGAGTATATTTCACAGACGAAAACCCTGTGAACAGGTTTAGTTTGTCAGCATCCAACGGTACATTAAGGCACTTGTCCTAACCACACAGGTATAAAAAGCCACTTGCTTCTGGAATACCGGATAACCACAGCCACAGAAAATGGTGTCCAGGAGAACACCTGTGCTCAAATGCCATTTCCGTTTGCTTCAACCAAACGCGTGAGAAGTCAAACGCACAGCAGCTCATTACTAAGGCGGCAAACATTAAGTCATCAACCCCTTCAAAGCAGAGACCCTGCCAAGAGCCAGCAAACAGCTCAGTGTCCTTGCAGACATGAGCTTCACTGAAACCCTCACAAGAACCTGCATGTCTGTTTCCACTTCATGAATGGGCGGACATGCTCAGAGAGGTCCAGACATTGGCTGACTCTCACACAGCTTGCAAGTGGTAGCTGCCTGGTTAACTTATGTCTGTCTAAAACAAAGCCTGTGCTTTCTGTGCTCCAGGCCTCCACATGTGAACTGGCTCTTAGGGGGTACAGGAATCAAGCTGAAATGCTGCTGGTGCAGGCTTGGGGAACATCGAGACGAGAGTTAAAAATGAAATGAAAGTCACATTTGTCATTCTGCTTTTATGGTTGTAAATTAAACTCTCTGCAAGATTTCTTCGGTAAACTTCACATTTCCTAAGATGCCCTTTATCAGCTTAACACGCCTGGAACCCCAAGCACAGCCCTGTCCATATGGAACTTTATAATTATTTAATATAACTTCTAGATACATCACTTATTTTTCACTCTCTGCCAACAAAATAAATGGCGAAAGCTTCTGTGCCACGTGTCGTTGGTTGGACAATGACAACTCTGAACATCGTAGCTGGCGTTGCTGGACTTCTAATTAAAGCACGTTAAACCTCAGAGAATAAAGATATCCAGAAAGTTCTGAGGCAGAAAGAAAGGACATCGTGCTTTATGGGTGTTCATTCTAAACATGTTCATTATATGCCAAAGCCTGGGGATGGCAAATGTAGAGTTTAAAAAGACACCATCTGTTGTGTGATGTTCCAAATTATAAACCTAACCCTTAATTTCTATGTCATCTGCTATTCGGTCACTCTCCTTCTCCAGGATGAAAAAAAAATAAACAGGGGTTAGCACACTCACTAAGCAGGTTTAGCAAGATCAATGAAGTTCCCTGTAAGATATTTTGATAAGCCCAGCATTACAACCTGTATATTTTCTCCAGAAACAAATTCCTATTTTATTTTACTGTTAAACACTACACACACAGTGGCTTCCATAAACCGAGAGTCCAAAATAACCCAAGAGCGAGCTACAGTCTTTTCTGTAATTTTTACATTATTTAAAGTCCCTTGGCTCCTTGAATGAAAAAGCAGAGATTTTAGGAAACTTTCCAATCTGTGAAATGAAAAGTAGAGTAATTGCTCAAGTAAAGAAGGGTTTCTTTAAAGAAAAATGTCTTTAAGACAGAAGGAAAACAAGAGTTGATAGCCCAAATCAAAAATATTTCCTGTTTTAAATATTCAAAGGCAACATGTAGCATACATAACAGGAAAAAGTTCCACTAAAAAGAAGAAAAGTAACATAGCCTTGAAAAGGTTTTCTTACTTGTAGGTCTGAAATATCTTAGTTTAAAAAAAACAAAAACAAAAACAAATGTAAGATGGCTCATTCAGGGTTGATTTGAGTTCACAAAATAATTTTATTATATGTAAGAAAGCATACAGGCAATAAAATTAAGAAAGCATTCACAATGCATAAATAACAGAGCCCCAATGCCAGAGATGCTTTTCAGCAGATTTCTTCCTGGTCACCCACTTCATCTAAAAGTGAAGTAAATTGCTTATCCACAAGAAAACTTTGTAAACGTTTCAAAGAAGTTCTCTTGAAATGCCCCACATGAATTAGTATTTCACAAGGGAGATTATAATATCTTTCTTACAGTCCAGGTGATGACATAGGGCATGAGTCTGAAGCACAGAGAAAGGGTTAGCATGTGTCAAAACAGATACTCATGGCTTTGGAGCGCTTAACACACCTTAAGAGAAGAGGTGTCCTGTTTTTTTCCCAACGGAAGTGTCTTTCTCAAGGAGGATAATGAGGCACTATTCATTAGTTAGTATGCTATTAACATTTAGACTTTAAAAAAAAAAAAATCGATTCTAAGTTCAGATTAACGTACTGCAAAAGGAGCCTTGCCTTAGCTTGGTACCTGGCAAGATGTAGGCGCAGGATTTGACCTTTGCCCATGGGTGAGTTGGCTGTGACATAAGAATTAAGGAAACTCGCTGTCTTCACATATCTGACCAGGACAGCCATCTGTTTGGTTCAGAAAAGCTATCTGACATGTGGAACGAGAAAAGACAGACAGGGCTGGTTATTTTACATAAATACAAAGTGGCATCTACTTTTTATGACCACTTAAGACCATACATTTCGAGTTGGAGTCTTCTTAAGCTGGCTTTTATTTAAGATATTTACAAAACTGCAAATCATTCTCCTTGGAAAGTGTTGGTTATTTAAAAACGGCTGAACTCAACAGCAGCTATGCTTTTTAAAGGTTTTCAAAATCATTTTAGAGGGGAAAAACATTCACGGCATTTGTCAATACTCACCTTGTCTTTATTTATGCCAATGAATTTCAAGGAATGATCACAACTCATTTCCTACCCATCTCTACTGTGTTTCTGGAATTCGCACAGGAGGATTCAGGATTTCAGAGTCTGTGTGTTTGTTTCATTGGCTTATAAAGTGCTAGTTACATGGACGAATATGTGATTGTAAAGTCTCAGTTAACTCATTAGCTTATCCTATTAAATATGATAAATATAGATTCATTATAATAAATTAAAAATATCCATATAATACAATAAATAAATAAAACTAATATCCACGAAGCAGCTCTCGATTCTGAAAAAAACAATCTTATTCGGACTGTAAGGCTCGATTACTTTTTAGAAATGATTTATGAAAGCATGCACCTACCTTTACAACCTGAAAATTTTGCTCTGGCCAGTGTTAGCACCTGTTTGTACACAGCAAACTCAACCCTTCTCATTTCCTTCCCAGAAAGGTTTACTTTTTAAGTGAAGCTGTTCATTGCTGATTCTTTGCCCTATTTTTTTTTAAAGTCCTAAGAATCGGTTTCTAAAAATCATTTCGGAGCCAAAGACATGTCCCCTTGTGAATGTTCGTTTCACGTGTGTGCCTCTGATTCACTATGAACAACACAGAAAACACACAGGGATGGATTTTAAAATATAGTTTTTTGTGTGTTGAGAAAAAGCAGCGAGGTGGTGGTGGGGGGGTCTGACACCCCCGAGTCTCACCACGCTTCGGTTTCTCAAGGGCAAGCCCCAGAGAGCTCTCCACCAGGTTTCGAGATGAACGTGGCTGGCAGGATTCATCTCAGAGTTCAGGTTGGGTGCTGTCCATTCTGCGTCATGGGCTGGATCTTTTCTAGAGAGACATCAGTGTCATAGTCCAAAATGACAGACAGGGCCGGGGACAGCTTCTCCAAGGGCTTGGCCCCTCCACCTGCCTCCTCCTCCTTCAGGTCCTCTGAGGGGCCCACGGCGTGTGGGATCAGGTACAGGTTGCAGTCCTTGGAGATGGACCCTCGTGGCTCGTGATGGCTGGAAAACACCACAGCCCCATTGTTATGGATGCTGACCGTCTCGATGGCGTTATTCGTCGTAGGGCAAAGTCTGTAGCATCCTAAGAGGGTTGAAAATGCCTTCCGAAAATCAGCATTAAAGGCGTAAATGATGGGGTTCAGGGAGGAATTAGCCCACCCAAACCACACGAACACATCGAAGGTGATGGCATCGATGCAGAAAGGCTTGGTCTCCCCAGCCCCACAGAAGGGGACCATGCAGTTCAAGATGAAGAAAGGGAGCCAGCAGCACACGAACACGCCCATGATCACGGACAGCGTCTTCAGAACCTTGGTCTCTCTTTTGAAGGACATCTTAAAGGAGCTTTCTGGTTGGGAGCACTCCGCGGGCTTGCCGTTCCCCGTCGTGGTCTGGCAGCTCTTGGCGTGGACCGCCGCCCTCTCCAAGGCCGAGATGCGCCGAATCTGTTTCTGGGCGATCCTGTAGATCCTGGTGTAGGTCACAATCATGATGGCCACGGGGATGTAAAAGCTTATCAGGGAAGACGAGATGGCATACGTCCTGCTCAGGCTGGAATCACAGTCGTCGGTGGGCTCACCCAGGGAGGTGGCATTCGTATCGGAGGGGCTTATGGGTTTCGCCTTGTGCCAGCTGAGCTGCACGGGGATGAATGAGATGAGCACAGACAAAGTCCATGCCACACTGATCAGAATGAAGGCTGCCTTGGGGGTCATCTTCCTCTCATACCGGAAGGGGCTGGAGATGGCCCAGTACCTGTCTACGCTGATCACACAGAGGTTGAGGATGGACGCGGTGGAGCACATGATGTCAAAGGCCACCCAGATGTTACAGAAGGACCCGAAGGGCCAGAAGCCAGCGATCTCGGCCACTGCTTTCCAGGGCATGACCAAGACAGCCACCAAGAGATCCGACACGGCCAAAGAGATGACGAAGAAGTTGGTCACCTTGGAACGCAGGTGTCGGAACCTGATGACGGCGGCGCAGACCAGCGTGTTCCCCAGGAGCGTGGACAGGATGAGCAACGACAGGAAGCAGGCTGCGAGGATGCGGACGGAGAAGCTCCTTTCCGCCACCAGCCCGGCCCTGCCCATGGTGGACGCGTTCAGAGTCTTCATCTTCCCTGGAGGGACAGCACATAGGGGGCTCTGACACCCCTTGGGTTCCCAAGCAGGGACTGGGGGTCAGTCAGACGCGCAGCGGTCCTCACTCCCCAGGCAGCGCGTGGCGCGTCCCCGCTCGCTCCGCCGGGGGCAGGACGTCACCAGCGCTCCGTCCTAGGGCTGCCGCGATGGCGCGCAGGAGCCTGCGCTCGGCATCCAAATCCCTGCCCCCGGCATCCAAGTCGGCCGCTTGGACGGTCCCTCTCGCTTTCTACAACTGCCTGCTGTCTCCCTGGCTCCAGGTCGGTGTCGCTGTAACCGGCTGGCTGGCCCTTCGATTCCCCCATGGAAAGCACCGGCTCTTTAGCATATTCTAAGGTTATCAGTCCAGAGACTGGCGGCCTCTGCCGAGCTAGTCAGTCGTAGTCACATCTCAGGGCCGAGACGCCGCTGAAAATACATCCAAACCCCTGGCTCCCCAGCAGTTCCCCAAACGCCCTAAAAAGCAAAGAGAAAGCAGAGGTCGCCAAGACTTGAGCAGACTGCGCTTTTACTCCTGTCCAGCCCAATCCAACTCCGTCCGTCCGACCCGCCTACCTTGCCTCGGGGGTGTCTGTCTCGGAGCCCCTGGAGCTCCGGGAGGGAGCAGGCTCCGCGAGGCGCCGCAGCTCCGCAACGCCCGGGACGCGCGCTCGAGTCCCGCCCGGCGCGCGCACCCCGGGGTCGGCTCCCGAGGCTCAGAAGTCGCGGAGGCGGGTTTGGGAAAAGGATCCCGGGCCGGGGCCCCCAGGGAGCCGGCGCGGCCCCACCGCCTCGAAGGGCTAGAGATGGTTGAAGACAGACGAGATCCAGGAGGAGGACCGCGGGTAGCTCGGCGCCTCCCTGGGGGGGGGGGGCCCTCCAAAACTAGTCACTCGGGCGGCTTCCCTCCTCTACGTCCCTACTCCCGGAGCCCAGGGCCCGGCGCCCCCGGGGCGGCCCCTGGCCCGTCCCGGCAGCGCCCCGCGCCTTCTCGCAGAATC